AAAGAAACTACCATCAGAGTGAACAGGCAACCTACAGAATGGGAGAAAATTTTTGCAATCTACTCATCTGACAAAGGGCTAATATCCAGAACCTACAAAGAACTCAAACAAATTTACAAGAAAAAAACAAACAACCCCATCAAAAAGTGGGCAAAGGATATGAACAGACATTTCTCAAAAGAAGACATTCATACAGCCAACAGACACATGAAAAAATGCTCATCATCACTGGCCATCAGAGAAATGCAAATCAAAACCACAATGAGATACCATCTCACACCAGTTAGAATGGCGATCATTCAAAAGTCAGGAAACAACAGGTGCTGGAGAGGATGTGGAGAAATAGGAACACTTTTCCACTGTTGGTGGGACTGTAAACTAGTTCAACCATTATGGAAAACAGTATGGCAATTCCTCAAGGATCTAGAACTAGATGTACCATATGACCCAGCCATCCCATTACTGGGTATATACCCAAAGGATTATAAATTATGCTGCTATAAGGACACATGCACACGTATGTTTATTGCAGCACTATTCACAATAGCAAAGACTTGGAATCAACCCAAATGTCCATCAGTGACAGATTGGATTAAGAAAATGTGGCACATATACACCATGGAATACTATGCAGCCATAAAAAAGGATGAGTTTGTGTCCTTTGTAGGGACATGGATGCAGCTGGAAACCATCATTCTTAGCAAACTATCACAAGAACAGAAAACCAAACACCGCATGTTCTCACTCGTAGGTGGGAACTGAACAATGAGATCACTTGGACTCGGGAAGGGGAACATCACACACCGGGGCCTATCATGGGGAGGGGGGAGGGGGGAGGGATTGCATTGGGAGTTATACCTGATGTAAATGACGAGTTGATGGGTGCAGCACACCAACATGGCACAAGTATACATATGTAGCAAACCTGCACGTTGTGCACATGTACCCTACAACTTGAAGTTTAATAATAATAAATAAATTTAAAAAAAAATCTTTATTTCTGCCTTCATATCCTTATTTACCCAGTAGTCATTTAATAGCAGTTTTTTCAGATTCTATGTAGTTGTGGGGTTTGGAGTGAGTTTCTTAATCTCGAGTTCTAATTTGATTGCACCATGGTCTGAGAGACAGTTTGTTGTGATTTCTGTTCTTTCACATTTGCTGAGGAGTGCTTTACTTGCAACTCTGTGGTCAATTTTGGAATAAGTGTGATGTGGTGCTGAGAAGAATGTGTATATTCTGTTGATTTTGGGTGGAGAGTTCTGTAGATGTCTATTAGGTATGCTTGATGCAGAGCTGAGTTCAAGTCTTGGATATCCTTGTTAACCTTCTGTATCATTGATCTGTCTAATATTGACAGTGGGGTGTTAAAGTCTCACATTATTATTGTGTGGGAGTCTAAATCTGTTCATAGGTCTCTAAGAACTTGCTTTATGAATATGGGTGCTCCTATATTGGGTGCATATATATGTAGGGTAGTTAGCGTTTCTTGTTGAATTGATCCCTTTACCATTATATAATGGCCTTTTTTTGTTCATTTTGATCTTTTTTGGTTTTAAGTCTGGTTAGCAGAGACTAGGATTGTAACCCCTGCTCTTTTTGGCTTTGCGTTTGCTTGCAGGTCTTCCTCCATCCATTTATTTTGAGCCTATGTGTGTCTCTGCATGTGAGATGAGTCTCCTGAATACAGCACACTGATGGGTCTTGACTCTTTATCCAATTTGCCAGTTTGTGTCTTTTAATTGGGGCATTTAGCCCATTTACATTTAAGGATAATATTGTTACATGTGAATTTGATCCTGTCATTATGATGTTAGCTGGTTATTTTGCCCGTTAGTTGATGCAGTTTCTTCCTAGCATCGATGGTCTTTACAATTTGGCATGTTTTTGTAGTAGCTGGTACAGGTTGTTCCTTTGCATGTTTAGTGCTTCCTTCAGGATCTCTTGTAAGGCAAGGCAGGCCTGGTGGTGACAAAATCTCTCCACATTTGCTTGTCTGTAAAGGATTTTATTTATCCTTCACTTATGAAGCTTAGTTTGGCTGGATATGAAATTCTGGGTCGAAAATTCTTTAAGAATGTTGAATATTGGCCCCCACTCTCTTCTGGACCCACGGTTAGTCTGATGGGCTTCCCTTTGTGGGTAACCCGATCTCTCTCTCTCTGACTGCCCTTAACACTTTTTCCTTCATTTCAACCTTGGTGAATCTGAGAATTATGTGTCTTGGGGTTGCTCTTCTCGAGGAGTACCTTTGTGGTGGTCTCTGTGTTTCCTGAATTTAAATGTTGGCCTGCCTTGCTAGGTTGGGGAAGTTCTCCTGGATAATATCCTGAGGAGTGTTTTCCAACTTGGTTCCATTCTCCCCGTCAGTTTCAGGTACACCAATCCAACGTAGATTTGGTCTTTTCACATAGTCCCATATTTCTTGGGAGCTTTGTTCATTTCTTGTTACTCTTTTTTCTCTAAACTTCTCACTTTATTTCATTAAGCTGATCTTCAATCACTGATACCCTTTCTTCCACTTGATGGAATCACTTGTGCATGCCTCACGTAGTTCTCATGCCATGGTTTTCAGCTCCATCAGGTCATTTAAGGTCTTCTCTATACTGTTTATTCTAGTTAGCTATTTATCTAATCTTTTTTCAAGGTTTTTGACTTCCTCTTGATGGGTTTGAACATCATCCTTTAGCTCGGAGAAGTTTGTTATTACCGACCTTCTGAAGGCTACTTTTGTCAGCTGGTCAGTCGTTCTCCATCCAGCTTTGTTCCTTTGCTGGCGAGGAGCTGCAATCCTTCAGAGAAGAGGTAGTCTGGTTTTTAGAATTTTCAGCTTTTCTGCTCTGGTTTCTCCCCATCTTTGTGGTTTTATCTACCTTTGGTCTTTGATGTTGGTGACCTACAGATGGGGTTTTGGTGTGGATGTCCTTTTTTGCTAATGTTGATGCTATTCTTATCTGTTAGTTTTCCTTCTAACAGTCAGTTCCGTGAGCTGCAGGTCTGATGGAGTTCACTGGAGGTCCACTTCAGATGCTGTTTGCCTGGGTATCACCAACGGAGGCTGCAGAACAGCAAATATTGCAGAACAGCAAATATTGCTGCCTGATACTTCCTCTGGAAACTTCGTCCCAGAGGGGCACCTGCCTGTATGAGGTGTCAGTCAGCCCCTACTGGGAGGTGTCTCCCAGATAGGCTATCCGGGGGTCAGGGACCTATGGAGGAGGCATTCTGTCCATTTTCTGAGCTCAAACACTGTGCTTGGAGAACCACTGCTGTGTTCAGAGCTGTCAGACAGGGAGGTTTAAGTCTGCAGAATTTTCTGCTGCCTTTTGTTCAACTATGCCCTGCCCCCAGAGATAGAGTGTAGAGGCAGTAGGCCTTGGTGAGCTGTGATGGGCTTCACCCAGTTTGAGCTTCTCCGGCTATTTTGTTTACCTACCCAAGCCTCAGCAATGGCAGATACCCCTTTCCCTGCCAGGCTGTAGCCTGGCAGGTCGATCTCAGACTCCTGTGCTAGCAGTGAGCAAGCCTCCATGGGTGTGGGACCCACCGTGCCAGGTGCGGGATATAATCTCCTGGTGTGCTGTTTGCTAAGACCATTGGAAAAGCACAGTATTTGGGCAGGAGTGTCCTGTTTTTCCATGTACTGTCTGTCATGGCTTCCCTTGGCTAGGAAAGGGAAATCCCCCGACCCCTTGCGCTTTCCGGGTGAGGCGATGGCCCGCCCTGCTTCGGCTTGCCTTCTGTAGGCTGCACCAACTGTCCAGCCAGTCCCAATGAGGTGAACCAGTTACCTCAGTTGGAAATGCAGAAATCACCCATCTTCTGCGTTGATCACTCTTGGTGCTGCAAACCATAGCTCTTCCTGTCTGGCTGTCTTAGAAGAGAAGCCCAACATATTTGTTAATATAACCACTCTGTACTATTTCTTTTGAATCACACCTTTATGTTTTGTTGCTTATTAAAATACATTAAGTTTTGCCATATATATTTTTCCATATAAATTGCATAAATGCTCACCAAAAACTTAATATATGATGCTAACATGAACAGTTGAGTCTTCTACATTCATTCGGGCAGTTCTCCCACCCTTTGCCAAGTCATTGAATTATTTTGCCTAAGTCACACTTTTAACCTATCTGATTAATTTGCAGAATTTGTCTGATTCAGCATTATGGAATTGTATTGTTTCTTTTGGTGCCACAAAATGCTAGGTAATGGCACTTTAGGTGCTTGGATCTATCATTTACTCTTTTTTGGGTTTAGCCCAGTCATCAATAGACAGTGGGCTAAAGTAGATTCTTATACTGTATATCCTCCAGCTATAGATTTTTATGGCTATTGAATGTGAAATTTGGGAAGCATCTCATTTTCAGAATTCCACACCAACTCAGCAGTTTCACTCTGCTTTTTGTGTTGCAGTGGACTTGTATTTCAGTAAGCTCCTTTACCTTTTTGATATCCCAGGATTCAAATGAAAAAAAAAGACAAAAGTTAGTGGAAGAAAAGAATAGCTTAGTGCAGAAAAGGGGAAGCTTCCTTTCTGTTCCTAAAGCCCCACAGTGTTGTATCCTCTCAATCTGGCTGTTTAATGTGAAAGCCAAGTGGCAAAGACAGAAGAAGACATGCTTTGTGTCTTTGTCTTCTTATTTCTGTATTTGTGCCAGTCAAATGAGGTAAAAATTCATAATACATAGTGCAGGGTGGTTGGGAATAAAAGCACAAAATTAAGAAGGGCCCTTGTTTAAATTTTGGAAAATTCTGTCTCATTCATTGAAACAGAAATGAAGCCAACTTTACAAAAATGTTGATGATAAAATTATAACAATTACAATTATATGATGATAGTTCCAGATATGATAAAATTAAACACCAAATATTTTAATGACTAAAATTATCATAATTAAACTGAGTCAAGTGATGAAATCAATGAAAACAGAAAAAAGTTATTTGCATTGAATAAAGCAATAACACTTGTCCTTAACATCAAACTCTCACTCAAGGTTGAAGAAGAAGTGGAGAAGCACAGAAGTAATAGCACAGAATTATCAGGAAACCCAGCTCATGGTGCTGCTGCTGGCAATAATGATGATGGACTAAATCAGCAGTTTCCTAGGAAGAAGAAGAAAGGGCATGACAGGTAAGCCTATAGCAACATTTAACAGGAGACATTTGGCCAGGCGCGATGGCTCACACCTGTCATCCCAGCACTTTGGGAGGCCAAGGCAGGTGAATCATCTGAGGTCAGGAGTTCGAGACCAGCCTGACCAACATGATGAAACCCCACCTCTACTAAAAATACAAAATTAGCCAAGTGTAGTGGTGCATGCCTGTAATCCCAGCTACTTAGGAGCCTGAAGCAGGGGAATTGCTTTAACCCGGGAGGTGGAGGTTGCGGTGAGCTGTGATCACACCATTGCACTCCAGCCTGGGCAAAAGAGTGAAACTCCATCTCAAAACAACAACAACAACAACAACAACAAAAACAGGAGACAATTATGTGCTGTGAAATGAATCCAAATTTGGGCTAATATTCATGATGAACAAATTTTATACTTTTACTAGGATATTAAGCCTTCCTTGGTTATCAGAAAAATGTAAATGAACAATGAAATATCATATTTTCCAATCATATTGATATTTTACTTAAAAAATAGGAAATATTGGCAAATGTGAAGATGGCATTTTCATATACTGCTGTTAAATGAAATTGATGAATCCTTTTTCCAGGGTAATTTAGTAGCATGTATCAAAATTTCAAATAGGTCACTTCTTTAACCTAACAACTTCACTTTTGAGACGAGATCCTACAGGAAATATGACTTGTGTAAACACATACACATATTTGTTAAGGACATTTATTACATGTAGTATATGATATACAATAGGTTAATATGTTAAATATATATAATATTAAGTATATATGATATGTTAAGGATATTTATATATGTTACATATATACTTATGTATAAGGATATTTATTATAGCATTGTAATATCAAAAAGTTGGAGATAGCCTAAATCCTTAGCAATAAAGAAATGGTATAGTTGTCATTCCCAGCAAATAATGTAGTATGCAATCATTTTGATAAATGAAGTTGTTAGACCTGGACTGTACTAATTATTTCAAAATTAAAGTATATTTAAAGACTTTAGTTTGATGACACATCTTAAGCCAGTTTTGTTGGAATTCTTGTAATATCTGCTGAGTTATAAGAAGAAGCTAGCTACATGCTACATTGACACTGTACCTTGTGTGCAACAGAATTGCTAGTTATTACATTTTTTGTTTTTTGTTCTCAATGTGTGAGTGCTGAAATACCAGATCCTCAAATTAACTTGAATATTGCCAAGAGATTGCACATGGGGATTCATATTTCGTATAAGCATTTCAATATATTGGGTAAAACTTACTAAAATACATCAGAGGATCTCAGATCTACTGAACCAAGAGTTGGACAGCTCTTTTTGTAAAGAGCCAGTTAGTAAATATTTTAAGCTTTGTGAATTGTAAAGTGAATAAGTGTGGCTGTGTTTCAAGGAAGTTTCCTTATGAAAACAGGCAGTGGGCTGGATTTGGCTCACAAGCACCAATTTGCTGATCTTTGGGCTAAAACCAAGGTGCTGTTATGCAGTGAATCCTCTTTTTAAAGGTACCCTACGTGCTTGCCATTATCCTTCCTGTTAAAAGATAATGTATTTCCGTAGGAAACACACCATATTTTTCAACAGTGGCTTCATATAATTTCAACAAATTTGGTTTACAAAATAAGATTATTTTCTGCACTCGTCCCCTTTTATTCTTATTATAGAATTCCATATTTTGACTATTATTTTGTATATTTGATGAGTATAAAATATTCTAGAATTAGTTGCTTTTTATTAAGCAAGAAATACTTCTTCTGAAACTTTTAGTCTTCCTTGGTCTTTATGTGTAAGCAGGAGCAAAATGATAATCAGCTTATATAATCTAGTAATGTTCAAGAGGCTTTTTGGTTTTATGAGTTAATGAATTTGTTATTTAATACCTTCATCTGGCATTTCAAAAATGTCATATAGATATAATTTTAAAAACTTTTAAAGGGTAAAAATATAGTATATAGTTATATAAGAATTGAAAAATACAGCTAAACAAAAAGAAAATTAGATCGTCTACAGTCATGCCCCTAGGTATGTTGGCCTTGAAAGAATGGTTTATACTCGTGGATTCAGATTTCCTGTCCATTCACTCTTGAGCAGACACCAGTAATTTTCACTCCCACCACTCTTCCAAGATTGTTGTTCTCAAATTTACCACTGATTTGTAAATCTAGACATTGTTTCTTAGACCTCATTTTATTTAACCTGTCAGCAATATTGGACCCAATGGAAAACTCTCTCCTCCATAACAGTATCTTCACTTGGCTTTCAGGATCTCACTCGCTCTCCTGGCTTTTCTTCCTGCCTTTCTAGTCCCTCTGTTGTAGTCTGTTTTGCTTTCTTCTCATATCCCACCTTTTACACATTGATATGTCCCAGGACTCATGACCTCTCTCTCACGACTTTTACTACCTTGTGTGTGCTAATGATTTTCAAATGCGTGTCTGCAGCCTAGATCTCTCTCCTTAACTCCAGACTTCTATACCAACCTACGTACTTGACATCTCTGTTTGGTTGATCATGAACTCTTGGGTATCATAAACTTACCAGGGCCAAGGTTGGGGTACCGATTTTTTTCTTTCTCATACCTACCCGTCTCATAGTCTCCTATTTGCATTAATGGTAACTCTTGCAATTGCTCCGCTAGAAACCAAGGTGTCGTCCTTGACTCACCTCTCTCTCTGACACCTCACATCTGATCTGTCAGCAGATCTTGTCAGGAGTACCTGAAGAATATATCCAGAAGCCAGTCATAGCTTTCATGTCCAAGCCACCACCATCTGCTATCTAGATGAGTATAATAGACTGTTAATTGGTCTTTCTGTTTTTTAAAAGAATCCTCTTTTCATCAATCCTTAACTCAGTGGCCGTATTTAAAACATAAGTCAGATGATGTCGTTCCTCTGCTCAGACCCATCTGATTGCCTCTTATTTCACTCCAAGTATGTGTCAGGGTTCCTCCTCATACCTAGAAGGCAACACACAATATGCCCCATTACCTCTCGCACTTAAACTTCTGTTTCTTATTCCCTTTTCTCTGCTTCAGCCATGCTGAACTTCTTGCTCTTCCTTATCTATCACTATTGCGTAAAAACTCCAGGCACACATCTGTACTGGGCAGTTCCCTGTGTGTGTCTGGGATGCCTTTTACTCAGCTAGCTTCCTGGCTTTCTCTTTCCATTCCTTCAGTTCTTTACTTCAAAGCCACTTTCTCAGTAAGGACTTTTCTGGCCATCCTAAAATTCCCACCACCCCTCCTCTCAAACCTGTAAACGTTTCATTTTCCTGCTTTAGTTTTTCTCCCCTAACACTGTATATTTTGCCTAATCTATGTACTGTTATTGTGTTTATTTCACTCCCATCAGTAGGAGTAGGGCCTAACTTGCAATAAGTTTCTACTCAATAAATATTTATTATATGAGCAAGTGGAGTTAACCCTTCAGCGTATTGTTTTAAACATTAGACTGTTTCTCACATAAAAAAAAGAAAAAAAAAATATTTGACATGGGCTCATTCTAACACTTTTGCCTAGCAATTATATGCATTTTTGGATTTTTTGGCTCTTCATAATAAGCTACATTCTTTATGTTAATAGTTTTCCATTTACAGAGAAAAGCTCAATATTGTGGTTACTCACTATACTTTTACTAATAATCATGATAGTTTTACTTACGATAAAATGGATCAAAGGAGTTACAAATTTCACTGGTAATTTATAAAGAAAATTAAATATAAGGGTGGTAAATTTGATGGACTTAAAAATTGTTTCCAAGTGATTATGAACCTTCAGTATCTGAAGTTAAAAGACCAAGTTGGAATGTATAGCTTTCTAGAAGAGAGCTATGCTCATCAGGCACTCTGTATTCTGACAGAGCAGCTGTTGATCTTATATAGGACTGTGGGAGGAGCAGACTTGAAAGATTGGCGGACTCTCAGCGGCATAAGAGGGTTGACATCATCTGGAGAAACATGGCTGTCCGAGCAAGGCTGCTGTGGGTTGGTTAACACTCCTAGGCTTCTGGATTGGAGTGAGTTTGTGTTTGATTGGCTGTCTTTCAGAAGCAAGCGGCCCACATTGATACTGGTTGGTGAGAGAGGCCAATGGTCACTGATTGATTGACTGTATTTACAACTGGCTGTGGGTGGTTGCTTGTTACTACCGTGGCTACAGGTCAGTTCTTTCCTAAGTTTGAGGCAACTTTAAACTGCAGTTTCCTGTTTAAAAGTTGCCTTCCATCAACTATGTTTAAAATGAAAATGATTTTGTATTCCAGAACTATGGGCTTAATTTGGAAGTGTGGGTCAAGAGGAATTGTTTAATAATTGCTCTCAGGAAGATCCCTTTTTTTTTTTTTTTTTGATGCTTAATCTTAACCAGAAGAATTCTGTACATAGTTAAAAACAAACAAAAAGCAATTACTAGTTTGTTTCAGTTTTTGTTATTTTCAGAGACTTCTGCTAAACTCCTAACATAATCTCCAGTGGGAAATGTTTGTCTCTTTGTTAATATATGTAGTTATACGATAGCAATACTCTTTTTTTATTCCTTAATCTTTTTTTTTGTTCACATTCTGTCCCATGCAATGATAGTGATATAATGTGTGTTTACTTCATTAAAAAAATTACAATGTTCTGCTAACAAATCCAGCTTTTTATATTAAGACTAAATGCTAGACTAAACATGTAGGAAATTTATCAAATTATTTTATTTTCAAACAAACTTATATAACTAATCAGAATATTGCTATTTTTGAACTATATATAATGACTATAATGACATTTAGGAATTTTAACAGTAAGATTTTTTTCTTCCCAAGACATTTTCCTGATTTCTTTCATGTAATATGTGCCTGTTATTTTTAAAACTTTGTTTAAACTGTTTAAACATTATTATATTTAAAAAACAAAACCCAAAACATAGCACAGATCTAAATATGAGTTTCATGTGTAAGAGTCATTGCCTGTGTCCAGTGGACTCCAGCTTTTTTTTTTTTTCCCTCTG